CCCGCCCCCCGTTGTTGATTGCACAAACGTGGAGAACCATGCGGCAACTGGAAATATAATCTCCACGTTCTCCAATATGTAGGGAACTTTGTCCGTCGCGACGGAATCAGAAATCTACCACGCGTCCTGCCTGTTCGACGACCACTGACGCTTCCCTGACGCTGTGTCGTGAGGATAAAACTTGCCTGCCCCTCACACAACAGTAGTCGGCTAGTCGGTAGAACTAAATTCATCACGTCTGTGAACTTCTTCCTTCTTCGTGTGCGTTAGTGAGGGCATCAAATTCAGTGGCGTAACCTTCAGTGGCTACGAGTTAGTTCAGGATCATGATACTGCATCCTGATAAGTTTAACGTTCTTTACGCAAGAAGATAAATTAATACAGGCAGTTCCGGAAGCGTGTGACGAAGATATGGGCGGGGGAGGGGGTGGTACCATCAACTTGTAGGCGTACTTGTATGCGAAAGTTGATTTTGAAATAAATTCATTTTTCAATTTTCAGCTTGATGCTTCAGGATTTTTAATCGCGCTTGTATTAGGCTCAGGTCTAAAGGATCTATGGATCAGAAAAAAATGGGAAATTCAGACGCTCTTTTGGAATAACTCCGATGTGCTGAGAGAAAGAAAGACCTGGGCGTATGCAGTTCTATACTATGACATTTTCACGTATAAATGGTGAGGGATGTTGTCCCGATGTTATATTTTGGGAAACTGCTGCTTATATCTCTAGATTTTCGACAAGATGGTCGTATTTTTGTGGATATCCACATTTTAATTAACACAATTATACGTAAAGAACGATTTTGTAGTATCTAAAAATTTAGCTAAAAATTGAAAATAATTTCGTTGAACTATAAAAATAATTACGTAGGAAATTTAAGCATGATGAGCAATGTTACGAAAAGTTTTGACATTGTAACAACTAATTTAAGCGCTCTATATAATTATATTGATGATCCAAAAAAGTTGTTTTCAGATCTAGCTAAATTTTAAGATGTTTCAGCAAAATCGGTCTTGAAACATACTTCAAATTCTCGTTTTAAAACAAGTCTGGATAGATTGACAATATTTTTATTCATATATCTTTTTTTAGTCCGAAAACTACACAGAAAGAAAGCCTAGTTTGCTAACAAATTTAAAAATAACAAATAGCTAAAAATAAACGTAAAAATAATTTGGCTTGTCAAAATAATTATGCAGGATGGTCAAATTGATTAAAATGTTTCGCAGCAATATGCTTAAGCATTCTACATAATTATTTTGACGACCCAACAAAATTATTTTTAGATCTGTGCCTAGTCAAATTTTTTGATTATTATTATTATTATTAGGCGTTAGGAACTCGAAAGCTCATTGCCGCAAATCCCGCCACTGTTCCCGTCCCTGAGCCAGATCCTTCTATTTGTGACTCCATTTCAGATATTAAGATCCATTCTAATATTTTGATATTTCAATATTTATTTATTTATTTATTTATTTATTTATTTATTTATTTATTTATTTCAATATTTATTTGATATTTCAATATTTATTTTTGATATTTCAAATTTTTTGATATTTTAACAAAATTGTTTGTCCCTCGTACTTTCTCGATATTAAAGTTCTTTATAAAAAAACTAAGAATCATAAATATATATTGTCTGTGCAATTTTTTGATATTTTAGCAAAATTGTTTGTCCCTCGTACTTTCTCGATATTAAAGTTCTTTATAAAAAAAACTAAGAATCATAAATATATATTATCTGTGCAATTTTTTGATATTTTAGCAAAATTATTTTCCCCTCGTACTTTCTCGATATTAAAGTTCTTTATAAAAAACTAAAAATCATAAATGTCTGTGCAATTTTAATTATCGCAACGTATTAAAACAGATAGATTGTAATTATGGACAAGTTAAGTCAATCGTTTACGTAAATAACCGTTGTAATAACCAACAATTTTTGTAATCAAATTAACGGATGAAACGGGATCGTTCTCCGTAAGAGAGATTAGCGTAATTTAAAAAAAAAATCATACAGTTGCAAACTGTTGATAAAACTGACAAACGAGTAAAGCGTTAATGTCGACGTTGCAATTAAAGCGATTCCAATTTTCGGCTTGTTACTGAATCCGATTAATTCGATGTCGCAATGTTATTCATGGGGACGCGGCGCGGAGCGATCGGGCACGCCGATAAAAATATGTAAAACTTACGCCATTGTGCGTGTAAGCGTATGTGATAGTGAGGTATGTGTTTCGGCGCATCGCATCGCTACACGCGCGTGTACGCGCAGCACACGCACTTATTCGCTTATGCTCGCTACTATCGGCCAATCACGCGGCTCCTAGGCCAATATCCTGCGGGACATATCACGCGCTTGTACGCGGCGCGTATAAGCAGAGACGTTCGTGCACGCGTGTGTGCGTGCGGCGTATTTACACACGGTGTGATGCATGGAAACTATTTCGTAGTCTACACCCACGTCAACTTCTCGGCACGGTAAGGTTTTGCTGGTACCCAGCGATATATACGCATACGCGTTCGTGCGTGAGCGTGAGCGTGAGCGTGAACGTGAACGTGAACGTGAACGTGAACGTGCGCGCGCGCGCGCGCGGGCGCGGAGGCGGGCGCGGACGCGGGCGCGGACGCAAGCGTGCGGGCTAAGAAGCGAGGGGAATATCGTGGTGTAGGTGAGCGCAGGAAAAAAAGAGACTGGGAAAAATATACGTATCTAACGTGTGTACGTTCACGAAAATTGCGACCACAACCGAAACTCTACGAGGAACCAGCTGCGCGCGTGTATGTAATTTCGTAGCCCTCGCCAACACGAGCATCGACCCCGCAGCACGCACACACGTAAAGCGTGCTCTACACGAGTTGTATAACGTTACCATGCGGGGGTTGATGACATGACGCTTCCACTCCGAGTATCGTGAGAAAATCGCTAAGTTTCGGATGAACGGAGTTTTGGAAGTAAACGCGGAAGCGGAGAGGAAAGCCGGCGAGACGAGACGGACGAAATCGTAATCGATCGTCCGAGTCATTAAACCCGGAGCATCGAATGTGAGTAAATGTACAGAATGTAAACAAAAATACACAGTTATTGAAACGTATTAAATTAAAAAAAAATTATTTATCGGACGATGTTGCAATTGGAATAGGATTTATTTTAAGAAAATTATAAAGTTGTTCGACTTGAATGATCAAATTTAATTTTAATTTGTGAGATTATTATTATTATTATTATTATTATTATTATGTCAGTTTGATTGGTTTGCAAGTCCAAAAGTAATAAGCACGCAGTGTATATCTGAAGTATTAAAAATAAGATAAATTACATATAAAATTATTATTCTAACCTTGACCGTAACTGCGGCTCTTCTTCTTGTTTAGTTGATTTAAAATTTTTTAATTTCTGTCTTTCTCCATCAAGAGTAATAAAAACTTTATCGCGGTACACGACAGAAATAATATTAGCACATTTCGAAGCGATGAGGGAAAATATGTTACGACTGTAACATAAAATATGCATGAATTCTCTCAGACGTGGAATTTTTCGATCGCGTTCCCTTCGATGCTGCTTTCACTGAATTTTCGATTCTATTTATCAGCGTGCAACCGCCCGTTCGAGAATGGCCGAAAATATGCGGCCTCTTATCTTGTGAGCGAGTCTAAAAATGGAGGAAAGAGCCGCGATAAAGCGGAGGAGGGAAAAATTGCTTCCACGGGCTGTGCGTGCGAGAGGGAGCGAGGATATATGCATCTGTTGCGTACGTTCGTGTGCGTCCGCTCGTGCGTGATACACGCAACGATGTGCGTTTTTCTTTAA